GCTTATGTATGTTATGTATGGTTGTATACATTTGCATGTTTAAGAAGTGTCCTCCTAGCCCATTCCAGGTCTCTGCTGCTTTCTCCCCTGCTTTGCTCAGGAAGTCATGGGGAGGTGGGATGAGATCTCCTGGGGAGCTCTGGTCCAAGCCCTGCTAAAAACAGGACCAATCCCAATGCATCTGATTGGATGGTGATGTCCTGATTCTTCCATCCTCATCACAGCCCCTCAGAGTCTTTCCTGAGCTCACCCAACTCACTGAAGCAATGGAAACCCAATGGTTGGGTCTTCTCATGGTTGGATGAGGGGACAAATGGTGCCCGTGGGTTGCAAGGATCCTTCATCAGGTTCATCTTCACCCTACCAGGTGTCAGACTCCCAAAAGGATGGAAAGAGTGAGCCTTAATTCTGCCCTCATTCTACAAAAGGGATGAATCCTCTCCAACCTAAACCTACTTCCTCTCATGAGATTTAGACGCTAGACTTGGAATTGCCACAAAATGGGCATCACACTTAGTGTGATGGCAACCCCTCCCAGCAATCATCTCCCCCCACCCCCAAGTTAATTAGCAAGACCCTGAGCATCGTCACCTGATGTCTTTTGCAATCAGCTCAGCCCCATCCAAATCACCAGCTTAAAATCCAGCCTTAGAGGTAATTTCCTCTCACCAGGCTACGGTGATTCCTCTGGGGGGGATCCACTGTAAAATTGTCCCCAGAGGAGATAAGGTGCCTGTCCCCTTGCAATCCCCTTCCCCTTCACCTTGGTTTGGTGAAAAAGCCCTTCATGAAAAACCACAGCAACCTGGATGGTTAAGGGAAGTCTGAGCAATAGGGTTATTTTAAAAAAATTAGCTCTCAGCCACGAATACAGCGGGGAGTGCTTCTCCCCTGGCTCCCCCAAGGCAGCTCTGCCACTTTTTAGCAGTTCCATAGGTTTCTGGCTTCTGATGCCCGCCCAGGCATGCACAGAGCAGAGGTCTCAGGCAGGACATTGAGCACGCTGTTTCAGAGCCAAAGCGAAAACAAAAGGAGCCGTTTTGCTCTGCTATGCAGCCCTTCCCAGGGAGTTGTTAGGGGGAATTACCGAGATATGATCTCAGTGGTGCTGCGGATTTGATTATTGAATTGCCAGTGTGGGGTGGTGAAGGATGCTCGGGGCAGTGAGGGATGCTTGGGGTCATGCAGGACGCTCAGAATGGTTTAGGATGCTCGAGGTGATGAAGGATTCTTGTGGTCGTGCAGGATGCTTGGGGCAATGATGGATTCTTAGGGCAGCGCAGGATGATTGGGTGGTATGGGATGCTTGGGGCAGTGAAGGATGCTCGGGGTGGTACAGGATGCTTGGGACAGTGAAGGATGCTTGGGGTGGTACAGGATGCTTGGGGCAGTGAAGGATGCTCAGAGTGGTACAGGATGCTTGGGTCAGTGAAGGATGCTCAGAGTGGTACAGGATGCTTGAGGTGATGAAGTATGCTCGGGGCAGTAGAGGATGCTTGGGGTGATTAAGGCTTCTTGGGGTCATGCAGGACACTTGGGGTGCTGCAAAATGCTCAGTGGCTTGCAGCAGGGTGATCCATGGGGTCAGCTGGATGGGAAAAAGGAGGCGATGCTGCTTGGGAAAGGGCTGGATGGTGGGAGCACTGGGACACACCTTCTTTGGGATGGACCCAATGGAGCACACATCCACCCCATTTTGGGGTAAGGGAAAAGATCCCCTTCATTTCCAAATGAAAAGTTTTAATTTTCCCCCTCTGTTCATTAAGCTGGGAATTGATTCTTCCCATCCTCCTGCCCGTGATCAATGCTGGTCATGCTCATTAAGCCTCACTGGAGCAACAAACCCAACGAGCCCCTTTGCCCCCCCCCAAAGCTGTTTTGGGGTAGGGGGAACCCCATTCCCATCTTGGGGCTGCATCAATGACAAAAAAGCAGCATTTTAAACCCGTTATACCCTAAAAAGAAATTATGGGGTGAATGGTGGTAGGTTCCCCCCAGTGCTCAGTGAAGGCTCCAGCTTCACACCCCACGGCTGAGCCCCCCTGCCCCATAAACCCCCCCAAATTCTGCTCCCTGAATTGTTCGAGGGCACTGCACTGGGGTCTGCCAGAAAGGCATAACTGGGGGTGACACAGCCACCCCGTATTCACGCACCGTTCCCAAAACGCGATGCCTGAGGACACCCCGCTGATGGGAACCGGTTCACGACACAGAGGGGCACGGAGGGGAGGGACACACATCCCCTGTCCCCAGCTGTCAGTGCTGCTTCAGCCCCCGGGGGTGGGCTCAGCCCACGTGCTGGGGGCCGGGCGGGAGGTGTGGGGACGGGTATGCACACCGTCTATATATACCACCAAAGCACCGGCGCCGGAGGAGGCACAGAGCAGAGGAGCCGGCAGCTGACAGCACACTGCAGGTAGGAGATGGGCTTCGGTTTGCAACGGATTGGGGGGAAAATTGGCTTTCTTTTTTTCTTTTTTTTTTTTTTTCTTTTTTTTTCTTTTTGCTGGGTTTTTTAGCCCGAGCATCATCGGCGAGGCTTCGATTCATCCCGTATTCCCGTTCCTCAGCAAGGGTTAAAGGGAAATATCTCCCCACAAAGCAAAATGCATGATGCTTGTCTGGGTGAGCACCTGCAAAAAAGTTTCACCTGCCCCCAAATATCCCTTTTTGGACCTAAACTGATCGAGGAACGCAACAGGAGCCCGACGCACGGTGGGGCAGCGGGGTGGCAGGTGAGACGTGAAGGGTTTAGGGTTTGATCTGACACAAAGCACCCAGCTCTGTGCCTCCATCCCTGTGCCGTTGGCCTGAAGGGAGAAACCACAGGGTTGGCAAACCCCAGATTACCCCTTGTTTTTGGTGTTTTTCTCTTTTTTTTGGGGGGGTGATATCCAGGATAAAAGGGATAGGGAACTTCACAACTTCAACACCGTGGGATGCACCAGGAGGTGCCTGGAGCAGGAGGCATCGCTCCCCCCTCTGACAAAGCACAAAAGGGAGGAAAATGGTTGGGTTTTTGTTTTTGCTTTTTTATTCTTGCTGTCCCCAATAGAAAGCAGGAATGAATGGGGATGGACGCGGGGAGCAGCCCTCTGCCCAAAGCTTTTACCTCTAAATCGCTCCGTCGCTGCCCCATCTGTGTTGATCATCTCGCCGCAGTCTGTAATTTTGGTCAATTATGGCCAATTACCTGATGGAGGGACTCAACAAAAGGAAGCGCTTGTTTTTCTGCCGAGCACCAGGGAAGCAGGGGGGGCTGCTTCCAATTCCCCCCAAACCACCGGCACAAAGATTTGGGGCACGCTGGCAGCATTGCTTTCCCTTTCGGCTTTTTCTTTTGCTGGTGGCAACTTTGCATTATTTTAATGCTGGAAGAGAGTGGGAGGGGAAGTGTTTTACCAGTGCCAGTGGGGGACACGGTTGGATAATAGTGGGGTTTGGGGCTGGAAGCAGGTCCATGCCCTCTGAATCAGGCCTTGCATTCAGCTGGAAGAGTGGGATTTGGGAGGAAACAGAACAATCACTGGGGGCTGGCTGAGCTCTGGGCACAGTGCTTGTTCCCCACGTGGTGGGACAGACCCTAGCCCTAATGAGAACGTTCCTGGGGACCACAGGGTTCAGCATCCCTGAGCAGCCCCATTTCATCTGATTTCAGCCCAAAGCTCACAACTCCGCAGAAAAACCCAATCAACCCGAATCGAATGAATGAAAACGCATCGCAGCAGCACCTGCTGCCCGTCCTCCTCCTCCTCCTCTCCTCCCTGGTTATTGATGTCAGAGCCAGACCCGGCCGCTATCCGAACCACAGGCTGTATTTCCACCCAAATCCCTCCTTTTTACCCCAATGCTGTCATTAATGAGGATAATTCACTCCATACTGGCGTACCCCAGAGCTGCGGGGCTCACAGCAACGTTTTGGAGGATGCTGTATCCCTCCATCCCCCCGGTACCATGCAGGTGCTCTGCTTCAGATGGGCTGATTGCATTTTCAGGGGGCACTGATATGCAGTGCCACCCCCTCATCCTGGGGCTCGCATCCTGCCTGCCCCATAGCATCTTCCAGTTGGTCATCCAGTAATTCTCCCAGGTTCTGCACTCCAGCCCTCCCAGGGATACTGGGACACCTCCTTCGGGGGCATTTTGGGGATATTGGGGTTTTGCAGTGGTTTTTGGGGGGGTTTGTCCTCTCCCGGGAGCATCCTGCCAATCCTCTGACTCATGCCGCCAGCCAGTTTTAATGAGACTCGGCGAAGATTAAGCCTTAATTCTGGCTCCTTATCAGCTTTCCCTCCAGCAAATGACAAGCAGCTCCGCGGGGCTCTGTGTCACCGAGCTCGAAGGTGACCGTGACACCGTGCAGAGTCCCCAGTGCTTCTATTGCAGGATGCCTCCACCTTGGTGGAAAACATGAGCCCTGAGCCCTGCCCACAAAAGCAAACCCACCCTCAAATCCCCCCCAGAGTGCCCCAACATGCTGGTGAAGCACAGGTCACAAAGCCACCGCTGTCACTACCGAGGTCTTCTTTGCCTGCGATGGGCTGAGCTGGGCATGTGGTTCCTGGATACCCATCAGAATGATGGCAGAAGATTGGAAATCGTGGTTTTAGAAGGAAATGAGGATTTCTGGTCTGCTGGTGGAGCTTGAAGAAGGTTTTAGACGTGTTGCCCATTTCCTTGCCTAGGACATGGTTTGCATAAAGGGACCAAGGTGCCACCAAGGGCAACCCTATCTTTGCTGTCCCCGTGTTCTCAGCCTCAATGCTGGCACACAGACGTCCTGCCTGGGGACAGCCTGAGACGTGCCACCTCACCACGTCCACCTGCTAAATTAAGCCCTGCTGGTACTCGTGTCATGAGATAGCCTGGGAAAATGGAGCTGGGGGCGGGAGGGAGGCTCATTCCCATTATGGTGAGGGCTGAGCGTTGCTTCAACCCATTTAGGAGTAGCGCTGGGGCTCACAGGTTTTGTCTCTGGCTGCAGCCCTGCTGTTGTCACCATGAGGGCCGTGCTCTGGGACCTGCTGCTGCTTTGCCTCTTTGCCCGGGCAAGGAGTGACTGTCGAGGGGATTGCCTGCGTTGCGACCGCCACTTCTACCGGGACGGCTTCGACCTCCTCGTAAGTGCCCTGCACCCAATGTGGGGTTTGGGGTAATGTGGTGGTAGGGCATGGGGAGCTGTGGGATGGTGAGGAACCTCGAGGGTGCTGCTGTCCTTGTCCCTTCTCCTTGGGCGCATCGAGGGGATGGATGCATGTGGCCACGGTTGTCATTGTACACCATCAAAGTCTACCAAATTGTCCCCAGATTGGGTTGGGGAGCTGCTGGGAGTGATGACGACAAGGCTTTGATGGCTATGGGATGGAGCTGACATCGCTGGGGAGGGTCCAGGCCCTGCAACATGCCCTCCTGGCATCCCCGTTGCACGCCCCTGCCAGAGTCACCAGCAGTCAAAGGGCCACCCAAAACCTGTGAGCCCCATCAGGACCAAAGCCGTGCCCCGCTGAGGCTGCAGATGGATGGTGAGATGTAATATTTGGGGCGGGCAGTGATCTGCAGGGCTGCTGAGCCCGTGGGAGACGTGGTGACGGAGAAAATTTCACACTGCAAAGGGATGAATCAGCCCGTTCCTGCTTGTAATGCTTTCCTTTCCCCTCCGCTGAGCCGTGGCCGGACTCTGGCCAGGAGCATTTCTTTTCTTCCCATTCCACTCCACCCACAGGGAAGCACTGACCGCCTATTCATTAGCGACGCTGCAGTGATAAATCATGGCTTACTGTGACAGGGGAAGCCCCTGGGACTGGGAAATGGCCTAGAACCAGTGGGGATCAGACATTTGGTGGGGATGTCACAGCCGACCCAGTATCAGTCCGCTGCTGTCCCAGTAGGGGCAAGATTTGGGGTGCATCACCCTGCGTTTGGCCCTAAAATTTGAAAGCATCAAATGGAAATGTCCAAGTAGTTTTCCAAGGGCTGCAGAGCCGTGACTTCAGGCTAGGAAGAGGAGAGCCCCCGAAGTGACTGGCATGCCTGCACCATTCAGGAACCAGGTCTTCAAGATGTGGATGATCAGCCTATGTCCTGGTCCCCAGAGCCATTGGGGTGTAGTGCCAACCCAGGGTGACACCACTAATGCCCATTGAAGTATGGAAAGAGCCTCACCAGCTTCTTTTGTCATTGAACATGGAGGAGCACTGGGCAGCATTTGCCAACGATGCCCCAAACAGCATGAGTTGGCCACATCAGAAGATGTTTCCTTATGAATTAAGGCAACGGGGCGATGGCTGACGACCCTCAGATGCTAGTGGGGCTGTGTTGTGAATGGGTGATAGGACTGCTGATGGCTTTCAAGATCTGAGTCACCTGGGGACAATTCTTTTTTCTTTTTGTCTGAAGAGCCTGGATGGTATCGGGCATGGACATCATGAATTGCTGGACAGTGAGATGCTTGAGCTCTCAGATCCTGTGTTGGGATTTGCAGAATCTCTCACCCATGGAAGTCAATGAACCCATGGCAAAGAGTGGTTCTGCCAATGATCCGCCTTGCAGGTGGCTATTCTGGAAGCTGTGAGATGTACACCAGCATTTTCAGCCATAGTATTCCCCACGCTGGCATCAAGAGATTCAACAACCCACCATGAAGAAAACAGTGAGATGGAACCATTGCAGGAAAAGGGAAGAGAGGCCCTCCCTCCTTGGATCTCCAGCTTCTTGGGATATTTATTGAGTTTGGCTCTCCAAAGACCTTCTCCTGGATGGTTTTCCCTGGGTGGTTTCCCCAGTTGGCTCTTGGAAAGGGATGGGATGTGGGTACTGAGGAAATCCAATGACACGGTCAGGTCACTTTTGGTGGCCTTTGAAGGGATACGGTGACCCTAGGGACTGAGGGACGGGCAAACTCACTCTTAACATCTGAGAAGCCAGGGGCTGGATGGCCTCGCAGCAATCCTGGGGCAGATGGCAGAGAACAACGTCATCCTGGAGAGCTTTTCCAAACACACGAAGGACAAGAAGGTCAGTGGGAGCAGCCAGCATGGATTTATGAAGGGGAAATCATGCCTAACCAACCTGATCACTCTCTGCAGCGAGATGACTGGCTTCTCCTGACTTCTATCCTATGACAGCTTGGCACTGGTGAGACCTCCTTTCATCAGTAAAGGGCCTGGAATGGACTGGAGTGAGAGTACAGAAAACCAGAACAGGAGAGAACATGGTTTTGCTGTGAGGACGGCCACATGCTGAGTGATTGTGGTCTCCATCCTTGGAGATAATCCAACTCCAACCTGTCTGGGGTGCCCATGCTGGAAAAGGTCTCCAGAGGTCTCTTCCCACATCCACCATCCCACGGCACACTTGGGGATTTTGAGGCTCATGCCTGGCTGAAGAACCCCGCAGCACCCAGCAGGGAGAAGTGGGACAGGAGTCTGGATGGCAGTGGGGAAGGAGTGTGAGGGGCGATGTAGGTTCATGTGCAATTCCCCAGCATCTCCATCACTTCTGGGAGCCTGGGGGTGGTTGAAACCCTGAATATGGGACGAAATGGTGACTGGTAAGAATTGATGTGCTCCCAGTGCCTTTCTATGGTGTCTTCCAGCATGTTAGTTGGGCTAGAGATGGAGAGAAGTCCAATGATCCAAGAGGTGATAGATTAAATTGAAAGAGTAAAGATTTAGATGAGGTAAAAGGAATAAATTCTTCATGATGAGGGTGGTGAGGCCCTGGAACAGGCTGTGGGTGCTCCATCCCTGGCAATGCCTGATGCCAGGCTGCATGGGGTTTGGGGCACCTGGTCTATGGCAGGAGTCCCTATGGCAGAAGTTGGGACTGGGTGAAACCTCAAAGTCCCTTCCCACCCAAACCACTCTGGGATTCTATGATCTGAAAATAGTCCCCCCATCTCCCCGCACAGGTCTGCATCCTGGAGTGCGAAGGCGAAGCCGTCCCGCGAGCCACCTGGGAGATGTGTGCCACCAGCATCCGATCTGCACCGCGTCCAGGTGCCACCGGTGCCGGCGTCCTCGGTGCCATGGAACCGGTCGAGGCGGTGGCGAGCCCGCTGCAGGTAAGCGAGCTGCTGCGGCGCCGGGACGCCGAAGACGGAGGTGCTGGGATGGCGCCGGGCGCTTTCCCATCGCAGGACGAGGACATTTCCCGGCGGCTCGGAGGTGGCTTCCCACGGGGGACACGCGGCTCGTGGCCGGCGGCCCGTGGGGTGCAGAAGAGATACGGGGGCTTCATCGGGGTGCGCAAGTCGGCGAGGAAGTGGAACAACCAGAAGAGGTTTAGCGAGTTCCTGAAGCAGTACCTGGGCATGTCGCCCCGCTCCAGTGAGTACGACATGGCCGGCGACCTCAGCGAGCACAACGAGATCTAGCCGGCCCCGCGGCACCGCGCCATGGACACGCGCGCCATGGCCAAAAAGTCAATCCATTGCCCCAACCCCAAAACCTCCGTTAGGAAGGGTTTCTCCAGGAAGCGATGGCTGCTTGTTTTTTTCTTTTGTTTTCTTTTGTTTTGTGTTCATTGTACCCTCAAAATACCATAATTTTACCCCTTCGGCCCCCCACCCGTTCTTTGCCCCTTTTGTTTTTTTGGTTGGCACATTTTGCCCGAGAAACGCCAATTTTGCTCCGCTGAATGGCGATGCTGGATCTTGGGATGCTCCAGTGCTGCGTTCCCCATTCCCAATGGGTGCACATCAAAAACGGAAGGGAAAAAAGTAAAGGCTTGGAAACACCAAGCCCTGAGGCTGGGCTGTGAGTCCCTACCTCAGTGACACCCCAGAAATATCCCTTTGCCACAGGTCACGTTGGGATGTTAGGCAAAAGGGTTTTGTCCCCAACACCATAAAAGTATGCAGAATGTTTCAGCCTCCTCTTCCCATTAAAAAAAAAAAAACAAAAAAAAAAAAAACAGAAAAAAAATGTCAAATAAAACCATTTCTTCTGTAAATGAAATGACTTTTCCCCAAAGCATCGCGTTGGCAAAACCCAGTGGTGAGTGGGGAGCATCCCCCTGGCCCCAGGAAACGGTGCCGGGATGCTCTGAGCTCCCACCCTACACCCACCCAAACCCCATAAAAGTGAAACGTAGTAGAATTTTTAATTTCCCCCCTTCTTTTTTTTTTTTTTTTTTTGCTTTTTTTTTGTTTGTGTGTTTGTTTTTTTGCTGCTTAAGACCAGGGGATTCCTCCCCAAGCCTCGCAGCCCCCAGGGCAGAGCATCCTTGGGGCAGAGCATCCCGGGACAGAGCATCCCGGTCCCTCTCTTGCACTGCTCTCAGCTGCAATTATTATTATTTTTATTTTTTATTATTATTATTTTTATTTTTTCTGTTTTGTTTTGTTTTTGTTTTTGTTTTTGTAGCGTTCCGGCACCGCGTCCCGGCACCTTCCACCAGGCACAGGCAATATTAAACCCTGCTCCTGTCCACCCAAGCAGCCTCCAACCTCTCTCTGACGGACCCCAAAGCGCTTCAGACTCGCACGCGTCCTGAAATCATTTTTCTCCCTTCTCGAGAGCAGCCAACCGGGTGCAATTTAAGCCAGGACGGGAAAGGATGAGGCCACCGCCGGAGCGAGGAGTCGTGGGGTGGGGAGTGGGGCAGAGGACTTTGGGATTGGGGGGGAGGGGGGGACCGCCCCTCCAAAAAAAGAAAAAATACAAAAAAAAAATCAAAAGAAGGGATTTTGGCAAAATTTGCGCCCTGCTTGGCCATTGGGAACACCCAAGGTGGGAAAATAGTGATTTTAAAAGTTTTTGTTTTATTTGCCCTCCCAAATGGCTTTCGGGCATCCCCTCCCAGCATCGTGTGCCCCCCCCCCGGGGCTCCCTGCAGGATTTACCCCCAGCATTTGGGGTTTGCATCCCACCACGGCTCGGTTCCCAAAAAAGGGACCAGAGCACGACCCAGCACCCAGGGCTGGGCAGAAAACACCTGGAAATGGTGTTGTTTTTGTTTGTTTGTTTGTTTTGCTTTGGTTTTTTTGTTTTTTTGTTTTTTTTTTTTTCATTTAAAATAATTTTTATTTCGTAATTACTATTTTTTGAGTGCTTTCCTTGAGGTTTTCTATGGACTCCGGGGTTGACTTCTTTGCTCAGCATCGCAGCGTGTGTTTTCGTCGCGTTCCCCCCGGCATGTATTGTGTCCCCGCTGCCATCCCACCACCGGAGCCCTGGTCTCACACCCTTTGTACAAAATAAGAATGGTAATAATAATAATAATAATAAAATAAATACCCCACAAAAAGAAAACAAAACAAACAAGAGAAACAAAACAACAACAACAAAAAAAACCCAAACCCAAACACAACAAAACACAGAAAAAAACCAACTCAACCCTCTCCCTGTTCTTTTTAATTGTTTCATACGAAGGTTTCTCCATTAAACTTGTACATAGCAAAAGGATTAATAAATTAGTTTACTGTTTCTACGATATCAGTGCGACTGGCGACCGTCACTTGGGACAACGCTTACCCTGCTGCCATCCCTGAGGCTCAGCTGGGAAAAAAAAAAACAACAAAACACAGGTTTTTAGGGGAAAAAATGAGACTTTTTTTTTTGTCAAATTGCATGAATCTCAGCTGAGCTCTCCCCTTGCATGGGCTGCAGCAGCGTGGCAGGAGAGTCATCCCATTGCGTGCGTGCCTGGCAGCCCTTCACTCAAAAAGGGATGGACTGAGGGTGTTAATTGGGGGGATAAAAGAGCATTTCAGAACTTAAGACAGAAAAGGGATGTGCCCAAAGGAGATGGAAATAATCCAATGGGGACACACCGAGGTCTGGGCTGAGACGGTGGCGGCTCACTGCAGTGATATCCCCACCCTGAGATACAGGAAGCTTGGGGCTTTCTTGAATGCCCCCAGGAGCTGATGGCAAGGCAGCATTTGTCCCCTGCAGGTGCCACACGGAGCCAGCTTCCATTTTGGTCACTGCAAGGCTTCAGCTTCACCCCACAGCTTCCCAATGGAAACACGGGGTTGGGACCAGGGGTGCCCAGGCTCCTTGATGGGGTTGGGACCAAGGGTGCCCAGGTTCTCCTCCCATCCTTTCCTCCTTTTCCATCACCTTGTGCAAAAACACAGAATTATTCAACGGATCATAGAACGGCCTGGGTTGAAAAGGAGCACAGTGCTCATCCAGTTCCAACCCCCTGCTATGTGCAGGTCACCAACCAGCAGACCAGGCTGCCCAGAGCCACATCCAGCCTGGCCTTGAATGCCTGCAGGGATGGGGCATCCACAGCCTCCTTGGGCAACCTGTTCCAGTGCCTCACCACCCTCTGGCTGAAAAACTTCCTCCTAATATCCAACCTAAACCTCCCCCATCTCACTTTAAAACCATTCCCCCTTTTCCTATCACTACCCACCCTCATAAACAGGATTCAGGCTCTGTGCACTGTGCACGTGTATTGTTCAGGCTTTCTGCAGCAGCAGAAAAGGAGAGCTGGCAGCCCCACGTTGAGGGCTCTGCACAGGACACGGGTCAGAACCCCACCGTGTTCTGCACGCACCCACCTCTCCTCGCAGCTTTCAGCTTGAAAACTTGAAGGACCGGGCTTTTTGAAGAGGAAAACCAACAGGAGAGGAAGGATGCACCATCGGTGAGCAGACACTGCTACCTAGTGGTGCCACAAGCCGTTGTGCCACGGGGATGGAACCTTGCAGGGCACCGAGTGCCTCCACCTCCACTGCAGGGCAGCAGGGACGCACGGCGCAAAGACCAGGCAGAGCCTGCGAGCTATCAGGCAACTTTTCTTTATTTCTTATAAAATATATTTCATATCGCTGCTGTAAAAATTACATTTCACATTTGCGTTTTTTTTAAAAATTTTTTCTTCTTCTTTTTTTTTTTTCATATTTTTTGGTTTTTTTTGTTTGTTTGTTTGTTTGTTTTTTAAACAATAAAAATAATACTTGGAAGACAGCCAAGAAAAGCTCCAAGACAGAAGATAACATCCTCCCAGCCCAGCCGGGCAGCAGGGTCCTTCCCTGTGCCATCGCCCCCTGTCACCACTCCCAGCATCACCCGATGGCAGCAGGGCACGGTGACAGCGTGGGGTCACCCTGCACTCAGTTTGGGTGCCAGCGGGGCTGGAAAAGGAGAGCAGCCTCCAATTAGTGCCCAATTATGAGGTTCCTATTTACATACATACACACAGCAGACAGCTGGAGTGGGAGACGTCTCCAAGCTGAGCTTGTAGTCGGGGTTACCCAGAGTGGGTGGGATGGAGTTTGGTGAGACCAAGGCTGGAAGTGAGTGAAGAAATAATGAAGAGAGGGGAAAGGGAAAAAAAAAACAACACTGAAATGGGACACCAGCCAACCTGACAAACCACAGAATCATAGAATGGCCTGGGTTGAAAAGGACAACAGTGACCATCCAGTTCCAACCCCCTGCTGCGTGCAGGGTCGCCAACCAGCAGACCAGGCTGCCCAGAGCCACATCCAGCCTGGCCTTGAAAAAACGACACAACGCCTGCTGTCACTGCAGCAGAAATACAAGCTTTTTCCTTTTAAAAGTGTAAAAAAAAAAAAAAAAATCCAAAATACTCCCAAATTGAAATAAAGGAAAGCCAGGAGCTAAAGGACAATTTTGTCCTATTAAATCCGTACCGCAAAAGCCCTCAGAAAATAAAGCTGTGTGCAACCCTGGGTGAACACCACCAGCACAGAACAGCCCTGTGCAGGGTGACCCTGGGGCTGTAAGTGCTATTGGCTGCAGAGTGAGGCACTGCACCCCGACATCTCCGGCGTCCCACCATGCCCTCAACCCAACAGGCATTCAGCCACTCGTTCCAGAGCCATTCCTCTCTTTTTCTTCCTATTTTCAATATAAAAATTACTTTTAACAGTAAGCAGAAAGTTCTTCTCATTTCCATTTGCAGAAATTCAAGTTCCCAACAGTGAAAAAATACGATTGACTACAGGAGGGGGAGGCAGTGCGGATTGTCAGACGCTACACCCTGGTTTGGGACAAAGCCCCGGGGGGGTGACACCCCCACATGGCTTGTGTGACATTTCCTGAGCAATGGGGACCCAAACGGGGTCACTGTTTGGGGCAGAAAGGACAAGAAGAGCAGGAAGGGAAAACTTCTAGGTCTGAGTCGTGGGATCAAAGGCACAAGGTCTGAGGGAAGCACAACTAATCCTTTTTGTTTCATTATTATCTCCATACTCTGAGCGACCTGCGCCTTCAGCATCACAGAAACCCATCTGTGCTGCTGCAGGGACCAGCAGCAAGTTTGGGAGCTGCCAGCTCTGCAATCCAAATGGTAGCAAATGCCCCAGGGGCTCTTTTTTTTTTTTTCCCCCCTAAATAAAAAATAAAAATCAAGAATAAATTCCTACTTTTGAGCAGTGCAATAACCCCAGCACACAACCCACTGCTACCAGGATGCAGAGCGTGAACCTGCAGAGCTGCTCCTGCAATAGACAGCTGTGGGGATGGCTGATGGCAGTGGGAGAGGAAAGGGCTTTCCCAGCACGGCAGCCCCAGCAGGGATGTGATCCTGAGCCAGCTGCTCTCCAGGAAAAAACACGGGCTTTGAATCAGACCTGCACAGACACACTTGGGATGCACCCTGGGGGGAGTTTTGCTCCTGCTTCCTGATTCTGAATCCGCCCATTTGGTACCAAAGATCAGGTTCTGGAACAAGATACTGTTTAGATATACAAAATTACAAAAAGAGGTTGACAAGCACTAGTATTACACGTATACATCTATGCTAGAGCACCAACAGGGCGTGCGTCCATCCAGCAGCAAAACGATGCTCTCCCAGCCACACAATTTGCTTTTTGAAGGGAGTTTTTGTTACATCGCACGGTCCTGAATATCAGCCCAGGCTCGAGCCTTGTGCAGGGACCACTCTTAGTTGTGCCTTATGGGCTGTGATTATCAAAAATGCAGCAAAAAAAAAAAAATATCCAGGACACAGACTTGCCTGCCGCCAATGGGGTGCAAAAGCAAATTTTAAGATCGTTTGCCAAACTGGGGTCACACTGTGATGCTGAGGGAAAGCTCTTCCCAGTCCTCCCAGCTTGCCAGCTGTCTTTGCTGGTGAAATCAGGAAGATTTCTTTGTTTAAAAACGAACAAACAAGCATTTGCTCTCAGCCTGCTTTTGAAAGACACAGCGAGGGCCACGACATAGTTTTTCACGGAACTAAGCAGATGTACAAAGCCTAAAAGGAAAAGGAATACCTGCTTTTGCTTTAAAAGCTCTCAAAGCTTTCCTGATTAAAGAGGCTTCTCCCCCAGATGCCTCCGAAACGGACAAACTGGAAGCAGAGACACGTGCAGGCTCTAGAGCAGAGCGAGCAAAGAGTACATCCATGAGGCAACGAGCTGAGCCACCCCAAAAACCAGCCCTGCCTCGTGCTTTTAAAGCTGCAACAGTTCTTGATGCTTCAGGACACGAGTGATTTGCACTTCATAGACAGTGAAAGGACAGGGGAAGCTGCCTCTATGCCTCACACTGGCTGCACTGCAGCAGCTCGGGAGATCCTAGCGTTGACCTGGGCAATGCAGGGAGCTCTTTGGTCCCCAGATCACCTGCAATGTCCCCCGAGCACCGAGCCATGGCTTCCTCCTCCCAGCCCCAGTTTTTAAACTGTACGAATGGGAGATATTCTTCACGTTTTACAAAAACAGATTTGGGAAAAAAAAAAAAAAAGAAGTGTTAAAAAACAAACCAAAACAAAACGAAAAGAGCAAACCCAGCTGATGTACAATATACAGGAGGAGGAATTTACACGCAGCTCTGGAGGGCTCTTCTGGAGTCCCAGGAGGTGCCTCCAAGGTCCCTGGGTGCAGCAGTGAGGGACTCCAGTGCTCCTTTGGGGAGGAGCAAGGAAGGAGGTGGCACTGCAGGGCCATGCTCAGTCCAGGAAGCGTTGGCAGGCTTTTTTCCACCGGCAAGCTGTGCACCACTGGTCCCGGTGCTCGATGCCGTACACCTTACGGCACTTCTTGGCTTCACCACGAACTTTCCTGCAAAGAGGCAAAGAAATAGAAAATGTACCCAATATTGCAAAGTTTCAGAGATTTGTGTCTTTGCTACACCTTGAGCATCATTTGGTTGACGTGCAGGAATGCATCCCTCTTGTGCTCACTTTGCACAGTGAGAGCCTCACCTGGTGCCAAGGGGCACGCGGGGAGGCGAGGCGACGATCAGGTGGGACTTGAGCATCGGCGTGGGAGGTTGGGGTTCACTGAAGCTGAGCGACCGGCTCCGCACCTGCGGGGACATTGAGGACCATGTGGGATAAGGCTGAGGATGTTTACAGCCAGTAGGGAGCCTGGGAACTCCCAAAGGCTCAGGGAGAAAGGATGAGGACTCACCGGTGACAGGGATGGGAGAGTCGAGGTGGCAGTGGCCCAGCTGATGCTGGTGAAGATGTGTGGGGACACTGGAATCTGGATGGAGGGCAATGCCTGTGGGGGGAGATGGGGAAGAAAGTGGTCAGCATTAAGCCTGGTGGATTTTGTTCACGTGTGCCCACGGGCCATCTCCTCCCTGCAAAGACCAGCTTGAGGCAGCCTGAGGTGCCTCCCTTGAGGTGGGGAAGGAATCCCCCATGCAATCCCTCCTCCAAGTGGTGCTGGTGAGCCACTGTGGCAGGGGACAAGGGACAGGGACCGCAGCTGGGGCGTCTCCAGGTTACCCAAGGTGCAGGATCTGGCACGGCCACATTCCATCCCCGGCTATCTGCAGCAGAAGGGTGTGTTGCATACCACTGCCACGTAACTGCGGTCGAGCTGTAGCCATCGGGCAGCCCCTGAACCCCTGCCCAGCTGCTAAGGAAGCAGGAGGTGGTACCAGCTCACCTGATAGGCGTGATCAGCCTGGATGTGCCAGAAGGAGCTGGGTGCAGACTGACTGAGCGAGCTGCTGGCCAGAGCAGGTTCCAGCATCGGTGGCTCCACCAGCAAAGCCTCCGGCTTGGCCAAGGCTTGCTGGATGATGATGGGGGCAGACACAGATGTGGGGCTGGTGTTGGTGGTTGCCTCTGCTGCGGGCTCCTCCTTCACCTGCACTTCAGTGTAGTAGAAATCCTCTTCCCGCTTCCGCTGGTCACAGTCAGCGCTGTCTCTGTCAGGGAGGAAAAGGGAATAAGGCTGAATATGCAGCTCCTGTCCCAGGGGAGGGAAGTGCCCAGCTTTGGAGCTCTCATGCTCTAAAGCTGGCTGTGATCAGCATGGCCCCTACTTCTGTAACAGCACTTAGCACTCTGAAGGAAGATCAACACATCTTTCAGCACCTCCAGAAACGCTGGCAGGGTGACCAGGCACTGCTGAAAGTCCCCTGCTTTCTCACTGAGCTCATTTAGCATGGCTGCAGACAAATCCTGAGGTTCTTCGATCAGGAAAAAAGCATAAAGGTTCTGACTGTTTTTCCCATTATGATTATCTGGCACTGGATGGCAGTCCAGCGCTGCCCACTGCACCACAGCCCTTCCACTGTCATCTCTCCTGAAGCATCTGAACAACTACAGAACCATAAAGGTTGGAAAAGACCTCTAAGATCATCAAGTCCAACCATCAAGACAGAAGCAGAAAAATGCATATAAGAAAACATGTACGAAAGCACAAGCAACGCTGCTTCCCAATTTGGTACCTAACAGACCTGAGCTAGGCAGATTAGCCCCAAGCACTCCAAGCTCTTGCCTCTGAAAATTTCCAGTCCTGAACTTCAAGCACAACCCCCAGATGTCCTGCAAAGCCCAGGGCTGCCTTGCTGCAAGGTAGGGATAGGTGACAGCAGTTCTAGTGGCTCTGAACAGCTGAGCTCAGAGCACTGGAACCAGGGCACCTCTGATCTTGGGGATATTTGCTGAAGGAAGGGGAACTGCTGGCTGCCAGCACATTCAGCACAAGTGTGCATGGATTTCAAGGTTCAGCAGGGGCTGAGGAGCTGAAACTTGTGCCTTACCCGAGGTGCTGGGTCTTGACGTGCCGCTTGATGCCAACGATGGAGCGCAGGACTTTGCCACAGTTTGGCCACAGGCACTTGTACATCACCTTCACTGAGTTCTGGAGAGGGAGACAGCCTGTGTCACCGACTGCACGGTGGCAAGGTCCCCTGCAGGGCCACACTTATGGTGCTGGGGTCCCCAGTACCTTTCTCTTCCGCGGAGCCGGCTCGTCGAGGAGAAAGGGATCAGAGTCAGTCTCAAAGCCATCATCAGCCGGTGGGGAGCTGAGTGCCTCGCTGGAGTGCTTGGGGCTGCCTTCAGGATGTGGGGGAGACGGGGTGGAGATGTCGCTGCCCCCACTCCAGTGCCCGCTGGTGGTGCTGCTGCCGCTGTCTGAGACGTCGCCGCTCTCCTTCCAGGGATCACACGCTGCCCGTGATGCTGAACACAGGGAACACACAGCCACCATCACCACAAGGCACTGAGAGCAGCCCTGAGGCTAGATAAACTATGGCAGCAGTTTGCTTCTAGTTTTAAATGTTTTAAGTGAAGCCTTTGCACCTCTGCTCAGTGCCAGGTCCCAGCTTTATCCCATTTCTCCATAAGCACAACCCTGCAGGGGACAGCCAGCACTGGGGCACGCACATTTCCCACGGCTCCCAGCTGCTATTTTTATCCCTTCAGCTCCATTTGACTCCTTGGGAATGAAAGAGCCTCTAAAAAAAGGAGCAGACAGGCGGTGCTCCCCAGCCCGGGGCTCCCCAGTCCCGCAGGAGGGTGACAGACAGCAGGGTCACCCCATTGGCACGGTCCCAAACAGCAACAATGGGCTCCTCCAGGAACCAGCGCTGCTTCTGTTCACCTCCAGCCCAGCACAACGTGTGCCCTAGCTGCTATTTGGCACTGAGCTTAAAGCACCAGCATCCAAAGGGCACGGTGTATTTCTCCACATCCCCCCCAGCCCCCCTTTTTTTTTTCCCTGGATCTTGTTTTTATTTTTCAGTGCACACTCACGGGGGATGCCACTCTCACTGGCAGGAGGGCTCTGCACCACAGGGCTGCAGGAGAGGCTCGTCAGCACCATGGCTGCAACCATCTCGTCCATCTCCACAGCTGCGTCAGCTTTCCTGTGTTGTAGATGGAGAATGCACGGAGGAAAAAGCAGAGAGACATCCCATTAAAAGCAGGAAAGCCAGTGTGCATAAGGGTGGTGCATATCACAGAGGCAGCGTGGCTCCCACCACCCTCTTGCAGTCTTTAAGTTTTCAGGAAAGACTTTTTTTTTCTCCCCAAAGCAGCATTTGCAGAAAATAAATCCCCTTAATCCTGAGTGCAGCCATTCCCTGGATAACCCATGCTCTGGTAAGGCGGAGATATCCCCAATGACTCCCTCTGTCAGCATAAAACCAAGCATGAGCACTGCAGGAGCCCCTTCCCATCCTGTCAAGATACTACCAGCTCCAGGCACGAACCTCTTGGGGACGTCAATGCTGTTGGACACAGATCTCTGCAGTGCCTCAGGCACATCCTGCAGCCTCCAGCACGTATGCAAGCCCTGCTCTGGCTGCAGCACCTTCACTTTGTCGCTGGGTGGGTTGTGCTGCTCCACCAGCCCTGTGCACTCCTGCCCGCTGTAGGTGACAAGAACCTGAAAAACAGCCAAGGGGAGCATTATTGGTGCTGCGTCCTGATGCACAACCCCACTGTTCAGGTTCTTCTCCTGCAGCAGGGGGATACTGCAGGGTATCTGGGGGATGAAGGCTGTCCCAGAGCTGTCACAGAATCACAGAATGGCCAGGGTTGGAAGGGACCTCAAGGATCATGAAGCTGCAGCTCCCCCACCACATGCAGGGCCACCAACCTCCACATTTCATACCAGCCCAGGCTGCCCAGGGCCCCATCCAACCTGGCCTTGAACACCTCCAGGGACGGATGAGGCATCCACAGCCTCTCTGGGCATCTGTTCCAGCACCTCACCACTCACACAGTAAAGAACTTCACCCTGACATCCAACTTAAATCTTCCCTCCATCAACCTAAAACCATTTCCCCTTGTCCTGCAGTTATCTACCCTTTCAAAGAGTTGACTCCCCTCCTGTTTGTAGGCTCCCTTTAGGTACTGAAAGGCTGCAATGATGTCACCCCGCAGCCTTCTTTTCTCCAGGCTGAACAAGCCCAGCTCCCTCAGCCTGTCCTCATAGGGGAGGTGCTCCAGTCCCCCTGATCATCTTTGTGGCTCTCCTCTGGACCCTCTCCAACAGCTCCCTGTCTTTCTTGTACTGGGGGCTCCAGACCTGGATGCAGTACTCCAGATGGGGCCTCACAAGGGCAGAGCAGAGAGGGACAAAAACCTCTGTGTTCCAGCACACCAGCTGGGTGACAGCGTTCACCCCAACCCCACTGCTGAGATCTGCCCTTGGAGCACGCTCCCCAACTCTGTCAATTCCACATTCAGCTGCTTCTCTGAGCATCATGACTTTGGATGGACTTTTCTCCAGTGAATCTGTCTGCTTTTACTTTGCCTGCACGTCATGTTGCAGCAAGGATGCTCACTACTATCACACCCCCTGGGAAAGCATGTAGATGAAAAGGTGAAAATCCAGAGGAGAAAGAGGCCTCCTGGGTGCAGTCACATCCCAGTTCCTCCCATCACAGCTCTCATGACCAGGAGGAGAAATTCAAACCTCACCTGCTCCCCTCTCGCAGTGTCTCCCTTGCTCCTGTGGGCTATTTTCCAGCACAACCACCCATGAGCCTATTTCTGTTAATGGAAATGGATCTGTGTCCAAAGAAGTTACATGTCTCTCCATCTATTTATAGGCACAGGAGCATCTCTTTATGGAAATGCTGCGGGTGTCACACGAAGAAGCTGACATGGGATGGACACAGGCACCCATGCATTGACCAGGGAAAAGCACATGGGACCATTCCAGGTGAGACATCTAGCAGAAAGTATGATGTGGAAAAAGCCACAGCTGCTGGACCAAGGCTAAAAGAGTGAGTGCCAGATCAGTCTGATCTCACTCACAGCTTCCAAAATCCATATCCCTTATCCAATGATCCCCAAAAATAAGAGGCAAGGCTTCTTTCTGAACACCATCTGTCCCTGTGAGAGAGGCACTGCACAGGGAGGTGGCATCTCCTTTTGACACCAATCCCAGCTGTGTCACACACACTACTTTTAAGTCACTTCCAGCAGCAAAGCAAGTGAGCAGAATCCTCTGCATTGGAGCACATAGGAGAAAACAGCTCTCACTGTCCTGTTGCTTGTAAACACACGGCAGGAGGAATCTGCCCTTCCCACAGCACAGTGCTGGGCACAGGAGGAGCCAGAAAAGTGAACAGGGGCCTTATTTACACTGCCTTTCACAAGCTCTGCCCTTAGTAGCTTTTATAGCTCTGCAGATAGAAGACAAGAACAAGAGCTGCTCCCCACCCCAGGCAGCACGAGGCCGAAGCACAGCCACCTACAGGACTGGACAGGCATTCTGGGGGATCCACAGCACCCCACTCCTTTCCTGTTTCACTGGGGGGGTCCGTGCCACCAACCATGCCTAAGTGGGTCTCCACACCCCTTACCCACAGACCCTCAAATAGGGTGGAAAAGCTCTGAAGCTCAAACAGGTGACATGGGGATCAACACCTCCATAGCAAAGCCGGGGGGCTCCTTGGTATGCTGACATCATCACGGGTTATGGGACAAGCTTATGGAAAAGAAGTCCACTAGGAGACACTGCTGTATGAAAACCATCTCCTTCAGCCTCAAATGACATTCAGGCTGGATGTGGCTCTGGGCAGCCTGGTCTAATGGCTGGCAACATCCCCCCGTGTCAGGGTGGTTGAAACTAGATGATCATTATGGTCCTTTTCAACCCTATGACTGGGGAACACCACTGGGAAGTGTCCAGCCTTCTCTGGACAATCACTTTTGGCTGGGATCAGTGGCAAGAGAGAGATCTCTGCTTGAGGCAATGTATTCCAAACCCAACACCAACGCCCATCAGCAGCTCTCCCTAACGACAGCTCCCCCCTGGAGCTACAATTAGGAGGAGCCCCAGGAGTTTTCTCCCCCTGCCAACGCACAGCCCACATCCAAAAGCCTCCTTACGTACTTGTTGCCGGCGGCTGGGGCTGGGGAATCTCGGTGCCAGGCTGCTTTCCTCTGCAGGCTGCGTGCAGGACACGTCGTCTGGCAACACGGCGTGGATCTGGGGAGCTGCCAGGACCCCGTCAGCCAAAGCACCGGGGGCAGAGACACGGGTGCCGAGCAGGGAGCGCTTCCCCAGGCGCCTGGACAGCACGCTCGCCATCGCGGCCACGCTGCGGGTGACAAAGACACGATGGCATTACCACCAGTGCAGGATTGCAAGGCTCAAGCGGCAGCATCAACCACATCGGGCACGTGGGGATGGTGGCATCGCTTCCCCCATCCCACGGCTTTCATCCTTAGAGTCATCACAAAAAGCTCTTTGGAGAAAGGGGAGCAATGGGATGAGTTCCCACCCGAGCCTTCTCTTGATGCCTCCATTATAAAGATACAGCATGGAGACTGGGGGCACCCCCCTATGGCATCATACTGGGTTTTGCCCCCTTATCTCACGGGGGATACAACCACACTCCAACTCGAGCCCAAGTTGCTTCCCTCCTTGGCACCCTGCTGCCTCTCTTGGGGCTTTTGGGAGCCTCCTGCAAGCTGGCACCTCGCACCCAGAACCTCCAGAGCCAACGGAACAGCTGTTCATCCCTCCTACTATGAAGAAAGGTTGAGGGAACTGGGCTTATTTAGTTTGGAGAAGAGAAAGCTCTGCGAAGACCTCATTGTGGCCTTCCACAATGGAAGGCTTGAAGGGAGCATGCAAACAGGAGGGGGAACAGCTGTTTACGAGAGTGGATAGTGATAGGACAAGGGGGAATGGTTTTAAACTGAGACAGGGGAGGTTTAGGTTGGATATGAGGAGGAAGTTTTTCAGCCAGAGGGTGGTGAGGCACTGGAACAGGTTGCCCAAGGAGGCTGTGGATGCCCCATCCCTGCAGGCATTCAAGGCCAGGCTGGATGTGGCTCTGGGCAGCCTGGTCTGCTGGTTGGCGACCTGCACATAGCAGGGGGCTGAAACTAGATGAGCATTGTGGTCCTTTGCAACCCAGGCCATTCTATGAATCCCTTGAAAATATTGGGATCACATCTGCTTCCGGCAGACCCCGTGGCCTTTGAAGGCCAGATCCCATTTCGGTGCTCCAAAAAGCACAAAGCAAAGCAAGGAGAGCAGGCGCTGCATTCACCGCCGGCGGAGCTGCCCCGAGTCCTCCCAGCTGTTTGCAATCATGCACTGCAGGGGTCAGCGCCGGCACCGCTCCCAAATTCTGTCTCGCTTCCATGCTGGCTGTGCATTTTGCAGCTTCCAGCTCCGTGCAGCACAGCAAGGCCTGGGGAAAGGAGGCACTTTGCACGCGTCGTTTGGCAAACAAGGAAAGCTTCGTTTAGCCAGAGGGGAAGGTCTGGGACAGCAAAGCCCCGGCTGCTGCTTGCTTCAGGTTTGCAGGAATAAACTGCAAGAAAGGTCGCTGCTCCATGCATGCATCCGTGTGCATGTGCCTAAGTGCAGTGTGCATGCACGTGCACTATGCATGTGCACACATGCACGACAATTCCAGCACAGCCCAGTTTTCCTCCTTTTTCGTACAAACTAAAAAAAAAAAAAAAAGCAAAAAAGAAAACCCAAACAAACGCCAATAGGTTCCTCCAAACGCAGCTGAGCTCCTGCCACCGACCAGCAAAGCAGAGACCGTAAAATCCATCCTTTAAGAGCCTCGAAGCGCTGCAATAAGTGATAATAAAACGCGACTTTTCCAGCCTGCTTCCAAAAGCCCCCCTGTGAACGCAGAGCTCTTCGACAAACCGCAGCACGACGTGGGCAGGGAAACAGAGATCTGCACGGAACGGTTTGCAAAGTTTGGGGTTTTGTTTAAAGAAAAAAAGCTCCTGAGAGCGGGAAGGCGACGGCTTGGTGCAGCGCCAGGACGTGCAGCACAAAACCCATAAAGCAACTCCGGCCAGGACAGCAAATTCCTCCTCCCTCTCCAAATGGAGCAACGATATTCTTTTGCAAAAGTAAACTAAGCGCGTGGGGAGCGCAGGCGGGCAGCAGTCCTGTGGGGTGATTCCCGAGGAAAACACTTTTGGAAGAGGCCTAAAAATGCACTTTCCGGCACTGGGAGGAGCACGGAGCGGCTTCCCCCGGGAAAGGGCCCCCGGGCTGGCGCTGCAGGGAGCCCGGCCCTGCGGGAAGGCGGCCAGGAAGGAAAAGGCGGCAGCGGCCGAGCGCAATTTGGAGCTACGATGCAGGCAGCGGGACGTGGTTGCAGCGGGAGAAGCGTGCAAGGGTGTGCAAGCAAACGGGAGTATGGGCATGCATGTGCGTGGTCATGCATGTGCACGGTCACACATGCGTGTGCAAGCGTGCAAGGCACGCGTGCAAAATGGCATTGCCGAGGGCAGGCGGTGTGTGCCCAGGCCTGCAACGGAGGGAGGCACCGGGTGGGGCACGTGTGCGTGGGGCGGGGGGAACACGAGTGGGGTGTGTGTGTGTGTACGGGGGGGGGCACTCACCGGGCAAGCCGGGAGGCGGGGCGTGCAGGCAGAGAGCGTTGCTGGGGGGGTGTGGCATGCAATGGGGTGCCTGC